CATGGCATCCTGGTTTCTACTGTCCTGGTATGCAGCTACCACAGAATCCCTTGGCAAGAGGGGCAGCTGCTGCGGAAGCTGTTTTAGCCACCCAGCATAGCATTGGATTTCAGGCATGGTGGCTGATGGGATACATGTCCACAGGAGGTCCTGGGCGTCCGCGATGGGACAATGTGCATTTTGGAGAATCTAGTGAAAACGCTTGACTGGACCATTCTGCAATCGCGCATGCATGCATCGTCTTCTTCATAGGGAACTGCGCAGGATGAAATGCACAAATCCACTGTTTCCAACGCTGGTTCCCTTCCACCACAGCTGCCATTGCTAGAGAGTGTTTATGCCACCTACTTTCCCCCCATCTCTCCTCATCCTGAATTTCTGAGAAGAATAGTAGGCCTGGAATGCAGAACCAATGTGTTTGATTTCCCTATGTGCATCTTAAATACCTTTATAATAAATTTGGCTTTGTCTCAGTCAACAATGCAAGCAAAGTCATTGAGGTAAGAAAGCGACAAATGGTGCTTTTTAAATGGAGTTCCAGGGTAACACGTATAGGCCCAGTTCTCATGGGTAGTAAATCTAGGCTGCCCCATTTCAAACAGCAAGTTGCTCAGATACTCATCCATACAAAATCTAACAATTAAACAACAATTAAAATCCATTCATTGAGATACCTAGCATTTGAGGGAGAAGTGTTCTGCTATAGCCCCTCCCCCTGATATGCTAGCTTTCTATGTACGTGGATATTTCTTTCTCTTTGTGGAGGAACAGCCAGTCATCGGCAAGGTTCACAGTTGAGACATATGTTTGCCAAGCCTAGATGGAAGGGAAGGTTATCCATCAGGGCTTCTCATGAGAACATCGTCAACCCCAACGAGGTTCTCTCTTCCATAACCATCTCTAGCTTTAAGGGAGAGTTGGATATCTCCATAGTTGGGGTCAGTTCAAGGGGGCATCGGTGGTTAAGGCTCAGAGGCAGTGTCCGGGAGCCCCAGAATCCTTTGCCAAGAACTGGGGTTCCACAGCAAACACGCAGGAGTTACTTGAGTAGTTGACTCAATCTGGTAGCAGAAGCTTTTGTGAGGGTGAGAGTAATCCGGGGCTCCTGAAATACTTTTCACTGGCCAAGTTCAATTTCAGCAGAGACTTCAAGGGCTGCATTCCAGTGGAGCAAAAACAAAAGGGGGGCAAAAACATCCTGAAGCCGACTCCTTTTAGTTTAAAGCTCTTAATGTTCTTTCAGAATTGGGGGGTGGGGGGGGGAATGCACAAAAGCTGGGGAACCAGTGGAGTAGAAGAAAAAGCAGAGATGCGGAAAGAAGAGGACCACGACATCAGACCACAGATTTGCTTACGTGCCTGATATTTAGGGCCCCGCACTAGTCGATGAAAATGTATGTGGTGATTGTAGCCCTCGTACGTGCGCTACATGTTTGAGGAAGTGCAGACTCCGTGTTCTTGTTGAGGGTTGATGGCCATGTCACGCCCCGTCCTACGGGGAATTTCAGTGTCTACATGTTTCTGGGTGGTTTGGCATGTGGAGATCCCTAATTATAGAGCCCCCACCCAGAAACGTGCCACCAGGACGGTTCTTCCCTTGCATTTAGAAGCGTGCTTAAGACCACCCCCCCTCCATGGAAGACCTGTAGTTGCTGCATTCAAACCTTTCAGTGTTTGGTGTTGTAAATTTTATGATGTGAATTGTAATCGTGACCCCTTATCGATTTTGGAACTTAAATTTCATGGTGGATTTATTAACCAGATTGTTAGCTGTTCTGAATTATGCAGAACAATCAGGATAACAATATATAAAAATAAAGGCTTAGAAGGAACATCCTGACTTCTCTTTTGAGGCCTCTCTTTGCTTGTTATTCATTTCAGGAAAAAAGACTGGGGGTCTGAACAGTCTGAGGCCGGAGCTGAGCCTGTGAGTTAATTCTAGTCCAGGAAGTAGAAAGCTCTTTTGCTAATAAATGTCATAAATAAATGGCAATAAATTGTTAATAAATAAATAAAGCTTAAATTAAATACATCTCCAGATGTTTTGGACTTCAACATCCAGAAGCTCCTGCCAGCATAGGCAAGGCCATGCTGGAGATTTTATTTATTTATTTATTAAAACATTTTTATGCCGCCCCATTCGCCGAAGCCTCGGGGCGGCTTACAAGTCCAAGTCCAAGACATCTGGATTGGCACTTTCTGTCCACCTCTGTTCTAGGCAGTATGGGCAAAGGCAAGGTTTAATCATAGATCATGGACTAGTAGAGTTGGAAAGGACCAGAAGGCCTTCGGATGCAGGACTCCAACTTAAACCATCCCTCTCCAATGGCTGTCCAATTGCTGGAGGCTTTTGTAACTTACAGGCAATGTGAAACCTCTGGATGGGCCAAGCTGGAGCTGGCCTTTCCCGGAGACCCTTGCCCCATCCGTAGAGCTACTCTCTTGGCTGTGAGTTGGCAAAGGCACTGCAGCGTGGTACACACTGCCCTGGCCGGCATAATATCATTTGGTCTTCATCCCTCATCATGGGATACCACGGCTCACATTTTTACTGTAGTTTACACATCAGTAGTCATAGAAACATAGAAACAGAGCAAGTCAGAAGGGGCCTCCCAGGCCATCTAGTCTGACCCCTGGCTCCAGCCAGCTCCGCTCACGACATGCCCACCATGTGCATGTCCAGTCTATCCTTGAACGCCCCGACCAATGGGGCCCCAACCACCTCCCGTGGAAGCCCATTCCATACCCTCGGGGTCCTACAGTCTTATCTTTTTAGAACATTTTCACAAAATGTCTCATCTAAATGTCCCCAGATTTCAGCCTCCTGCCTTTCACAGGTTCTTTTAGAAACCCAAATATTCCCTGAGGCACAAAAGTACCCCTTTGGAATCGTTCTATGGGTACTTTTATACTCCAAATAAAAGAGCAATGGTTGAATACAAATAGACTTCTTGGCTCCTTTTTAAAGCTAAGATTCTTAGCTAAAAGTCTCCAGCAAACAGAATTAAAATCCATTGAGAGGGAATATAATCTGACTGGACTTCAGGACGTCTCACCGGGACGGCGAAGACCAACTGGGCAACCTCTCCAGGTGCTAACTGTGGATGGGAAACCGGCAGCTCTGCTTCCCGCCTTGCAGCATAACAGGATCTAACTGCTTAAGGGAGCGCTTTCAAGTTCCTGAAACAGTTAAATCCACTGAGCTGAGCTGTGATTCCTAGAAGGAGAAAAGCAGATGGACGAAGAGAGCGGCCGGCTTCCCAGTCCTCGCTTTACCCCTATCGTGGTGGTGGCTGGGGGGTGCGTTGGGGTGGCTTTCCTTCCCCAGGTTTAAAATTAAGGAGGAAGGAGAATATTGCAGCTTCCAAGAGATTTCCTCGGCGACGGGATGGTTGCATTGCGACACCTGCAAGGAGAGGTGAGTTTTAAAAGGTGGTGTGTTTCAAAGAATTGGCAGCTTGGAGAGCTGGCTGCCCAATAAGGGAGATGGAGAGGAGCAGCGGTACCTTTGGATAATACATGATGGAAGGGTTTGGTTTGTGCTTTTTTTGGCTTCTCTACATGATGAATTTATTTTGCACTTGTGATTCTTCACTTAGGGTAGCTTAAGGGTGCTTTACACGATGGTGTTATTCTCCAGGGGTCCTCCGGTTCTTTTGCAAATATTTCCTTGGCTTTTTTTAGTAAGGAAAACGGAAATTATGGGATGAACTGGAAGAGACTTGGTGCATTTCTGCAGTTCTGCTATACCGCAATACAACCTCGTGGTTTTGTAATAAAACATAGAAAAGTGAAGAAAGAAAAACTAAAATGTGTAAAGGACCCAGTTTTAATCCTGTAAAGCATGTTGAAGCAGAACATTTGACAAAGTGACTGGTTAAAAGTCTTGTGTAGAGAAGCCCTTGGCATGAAAATACCAATATTTCTTTATTTACAATATTTTTACCCTGTCCTATACAAACATCCCAGGACGGCTTACAACATAACTAAATCATAACAATAAATAAACAACAAAATACAATAACATAACAAATATAACAGAATGTGACTAAGGATGACCATATTAAAAACCTAGTTAAAATATTTAAATATTAAAAGTACTGGGCAAATAAAAAGGTTTTTACCTGGTGTTGAAAAGAATTTTATTTATTTATTTATTTATTTGGAGTTTTTGTATGCCATCCCATTCACATAAGCCTCGGGATGGCTTCCAACATAATAAATAAACAATCATATACATAATACATATAAAATCAGGATTCACCCTGGCTATAAAAAACCAATAAATAATATTAACAATTATTAAAATATTGTTTAAATAAAAAGGTCTTGGCCTGGCGCCAAAAAACAAATAACGACGGCACCAGGCGGACCTCTCTGGGGAGTGTATTCCACAGTTGGGGCACCACTGTGGAGAAGAGAAGACCCCCCTCCGAGTATTCTGTTTCTTAACCTCCCTCAAGGAGGGCAAGAGGGCATATAGGGAAGAAGACACTCCTTCAGGTATCCTGGTCCCAAGCCATTTAGGGCTCTATAGGTCAACACCAGCACCTTAAATTGGGCCTGGACTTCAATCGGGAGCCAGCGTAGCTGATAGTACAGTACAAGTAACAGAAGAGAGTTCTGCTTTCAAAGAAATGCGTATCTGCCAGGGATTCATGCTCCTCTTTCATCCTATGCAACTGCTGCTTTTTGCTATTTTCAAACTGTTGTAAGTCATTCTGAAAGACTTTGGATTGATAAGTAGCTTAATAAGCATTTGGAGGGAGTGTCCAGAACAAAATGTGACCCACAGTAGGATCCTCTATTTTATCCTGCAGGTGAGGGGCATGCAATAGAAAAGAAGGAAGGGGGCCTTTTGGAAGCAGCTGCAGAGCAAGCGGGACCACATGATCCGTCCCTGGGAAGGAGTGACACTTTCTAGTGTTAGTAGGAGGAAGAACAAGGCTAGGGAATCTTCAGGTCTTGGACAACAGGTGAAAAGTGACCCAGGGAAGAGCATGGATGAAGCTGCTGCATGTTCAGAGGATAATCTGAATACAGGAGAAGCCAGAGACCTAAACCCATGTCCTGATGTCAAAGGGACCTTCCGAGAGAGCTCCAACAATCAACGCCGAGTGATGTGTACAGGAGAGTATAAGTGCTCAGAGTGTGGGAAGACCTTCAGTCGAAGTACCAACCTTCTGGTACATGAAAGAATCCACTCAGGGGAGAAACCGTATGAGTGTTGCAGCTGTGGGAAAACATTCACACACAGCTCAAACTTTAAAGCACATGAGAAAATCCACACAGGCGAAAAGCCGTATGTGTGTGCAGTCTGTGGGCAGACCTTCTACCACAGCTCAAGCCTTTCAGCACATGAGAGAATTCACACAGGGGAGAATGTACACAGATGTCCACACTGTGAGAAAGTCTTCACACGTAACTCGGTTTTTAGGAAGCATGTAAGGATCCACACAGGAGAGAAACCCTTCCAGTGCCCTAACTGTGGGAAATGTTTCTCTCAGATATGCAATCTTAGTATCCACAAGAAAACCCACACAGGGGAGAGACCCTTTCAGTGTTCTGACTGTGGGAGACGCTTCCATCGGAAATGTGATCTCATTGCACATGAGAGAATCCACACAGAGGAGGACCCATATAAGTGCTCACACTGTGGGAAAAGCTTCTCTCAGAAGTCTAACCTGGTGATCCATGAGAGAGTCCACACAGAGGAGAACCCCTATCCATGTTCGCATTGTGGGAAACGCTTCCGTCAGAAGGGGAACCTCATGACGCATGTGCGAATCCACACGGGAGAGAAGCCATACCAGTGTACCGTTTGTGGGAGGAGATTCAGTCAGAAGGGCAGCCTGACGTCACACGAAAGAACCCACATGGGAGAGAAAAGGACCGTCTAAAAGTTCTTCAGCTGCCTCTTGAATGCCTCCAGTGTGGGAGAGCTCAGGGCCATCGGTTCCACTGTTGTGTTGCTTTCATAGCCAGGAAGTTTTCCTGATATCCAGCCAAACTGGATTCTGGCTTCCTGTAACTTGAACCCATTGATGGAATTCAATGTCCTACACCAGTGGCGGCGAACCAATGGCACACGTGCCCGTGCCCGAAGGGGCACACAGAGCCCTCTCTGCCGGCACATGATCGCCCCAGCAGCCATGCACATATTCGGAAAGATTAAGGGCGCCAAGCAACACATTACTCATTAGCCACGACTCCTGAGCTTTCCCCAGGGATTTGCTTGGACTGTGATTTTAGCAGAAGGCAGGAAAGGTAGGAAATACACTCAGATGCCTTTTTCAGGGCCGGCAAAAAGCTGGTGGTCAGTGGAACGCTGCCCCCTTGCGCTGGTGGCCAGCAAATTCAGGTTTCATTACAGTGCCGGCACTTTGCAATAAATAAGCGGGTTCTGAGTTGCAGTTTGGGCACTCGGTCTCTAAAAGGTTCGCCATCACTGTCCTACACTCAAACAATCAAGAAGTGAGCATGTCCTTCCTCCTCGTGACAGCCCTTCGAATACTTGAGTGCTTCATCTCCCTTCAATCTTCTTTTCTTGAGGAGAAACATGTCCAGTTCTTTCAATCTCTCTCCACAGGACTTCGTTTCCAGTCCCCAGATCATCCTAGATGCCCTCCATCTTGCGAGCAACAGCGCGTTAATGTTATTCAGTGGCACTCAAGCATTAATAAAAGGGCATTAATAAAAGGGTGACTTCTTTTATATTGTTATTTATTTTATATTGTTAATTTTATATTGTTATTTTTGTATTTTATTGTATTTTATTTTGTGTTGTGAGCCGCCCCGAGGCTTCGGCAAGGGGCGGCATAGAAATGTTTTAATAAATAAATAAAGTAGGGACCTTATGTAAATCAGTTCTTGCAGATCATATTACATGAAACACTTGGATTTCCCAGCATCCATGGCATTCCCAGAATGCCTGGCGTGTGTGTTCTTCGAGGCCGATGTGGAAATGTGGTCCCCAAAGAGCTCCAATACTAATGACCCAGTTTGGGGGCCATTTTGTCCCTGTCTGTTACGTACCTCATTAAACAGAGTCCGCGTCCCGTAGATTTCCAGCATTATGGCAGCCTCCTCTGACCTGGCATCTCTGGGTGCCATTGGCCCTGCTTGCCAGCAGTGATGGAAGTTGTAGTCCAACGTTGCTGCAAGGGCGGTTGAGAACACGATCATTATTACTACTCTTATTACTCCTATTGAATCACAATTCCCCACTGTCCGGAGTCGTTTTTTATCATTCCAGCAGAGAGCTCTGTGGCTGACTTTTGGGTGGCTGCTCCCTCTCAGCCGAGCCCACCTCACAGGGCTGTTGTTGTGAGGACTGGCTTCCTTGCGAGAGGGGAAAAGGCGGGATACAAATGCGAGTGCGGGTGGTGAAGGCCCATGCAAGGAGCCCAGAGGAAGCGGGCACCGTGGCTGCTCGGCAGGAAGAGCCCAGGTTGGAAAGGGGTCAGAATGGGGAGCTGGACGCCCCCCACCTTGTCCCTTGGGGAGTGGCTCCTCCCTCCTCTCCCTCTTTTTGCCTCTCCTGGAGGGCAGGCCTGCTTAGCAGAGAAGGAGCTAAGAACTTCTCTGCCGGCCGCCCACCATAAAGAAGGGCGAGATCCTATGCATGTTTGGGCAGGAAGAACACTGCGGCCTGCCAGGCGGCGAGTTCCTTTCAGATATTTACTAGCCTTGAAGAACCCCAGCTTTGAAGAAACATCAGGCTCTCCCTGCAGCCAGTGGAAGGGAAGGGAGCACTTGCCCACGTAAGGCCAGGCTCCAGCATTGCTCAGTTCACTCCCATCCAAACATCCAACCTTGCTTTTATGCCAGTTAATTCAGTTTATTTCTAATTTCCTTAAAAGCTATACTGGTACACTCATCATAACACTTTCCGTAGCCCCTCCTCCCCTCACACACACAGAGGTAGCCCCTCTCTCTCTCTCTCTCTCTCTCTCACACACACACACACACACACACACACACACACAGAGAGAGAGAGAGAGAGAGAGAGAGAGAGAGAGAGAGAGAGAATGCCTTTAGGTTCAAATGAATCAACACATGCTTTAAAATGCCCCCATAAAACACAGGCATTCAAAGAGAAACGAGCATTTTCCTGGGAGCAAGTCCCCGAAATCAACGATGCCTGCTCCGGCCTGCACAAGTTCAATGTGTCAAACACATGGAGTTTTCACAAAAGACTTCATGGCGCTGAAAGGCAACCTTTAAACGTTCTGTTAGAAATGCGAGTAATGTTTCAAGCAGTGCTGCATTTTGGGAGTGTCCCTGGACCCGGTCACTATGCTCCCCTGATACTTGGCTGGGGCCCGACGTGGGGACTCAGCCAGTCCCTAAAATCAAGTGTACTGGGAGAGGTGAACTAGTGTTGAGGCTGGATTCTTCCCTCAGTCCTGAAGCTCACAGGGTTACTCTTCTGCCAGACACTCTTGTTGGTCCCAAGCCATCCACAGGGTCACTGTGAGGGGAAAAGAAAGTGGCAGAGAACCAGGTTTCATGCTGTTTGGAGCAGGAGCTTGAAAGCGACTGGGATAAAAATGCAGTTTGCAGTCCTGCAATATCTAGAGTGGTCCACACTGCAAGGCTGTTGTAAAACAGGAAAAACTCAAAAGCATTTAGAAACATAGAAGCACAGTGAGTCAGAAGGAGCCTCCTGGGCCTTCCAGTATGACTCTTGGCTACAACCAGCTCCAATCATGTAACCCCCCCCAAATGTGACTGCCCAATCTTTCCTTGAATGCCTTCACTGATGGGGCCTCAACCACCTCCTGTCGAAGCCCATCCCATACCCTCGAGGTCCAAACTGTGTGTAACAGTTGGACACAGTGCTGCAGATGTGGACACACCAGAATCATGTAGAGCGGTATCAACATCTGGAAGCCCCGCTTCTGGCTATGCATCCACGGGTGGTGCTCGCCCTCTTAGCTGCTGCGTCGCACTGCTGGCTCATGTGCAGCCGGCTGTTGACTAGCAACCCTGAGATCCCTTTCACAAGTGCTGCTCTCCAGCCACTTGTCCCCCATCCTGCACCTGAGGCACCTATTCCCGAGTCCCCATTTCAAAGATGAAAGGAGACAAGAGTTCGAAAGAGTGTAAGCGGGGGCAAAGAACCTGTGAGGCGGAGATCTGACGCAGGCCAAAGGCAATGCATTGGCACGCCGTCATCTTCACTGCTGAGCCCCCTCATCGAGGGAGCGGCACGAGCAGCCATGCCTATGAAGGCTTGAAACACCTTTGTCTGGTGAGGCAGGTGTCTGGCCATTTCAACCAGTCAGGGGTTGGGGCCATGCGGCTCCTCCACTCCCATCAGTCTGAGGTTTCTTGTCAAGAGCTGGGTGTGTGGCACAGCGGGAGCGTGCTGGGCCCATAACCCAGAGGCCGGTGGATCGAAACCATCCTCTGCTGGCGCATGCAGGATGCAAAACCATCCTTTTGCCTCGGGCATGATGAGGGTGAAAAGGGATCTCTTCTTGCTGAGCTGCTTTGTGCTGAAAGTGCCCAAGTTTCTCTGGCAAGCAGCCCAGCGCCATCCTCTGCTCTGCACTGAGTGCCTCCTGGCCAGGCAGCCCAGGGGCAGGAGCTGCTTTTATTGAGGGCCTGCACAGTGCCCAGAGACACTCTTGCTTTCCTTTGCA